CAAAGCACGGGGAGTGGCTTGGATGTGAAAGTGTCCAGATGGATTGTTTACTCGGATGATTGTTCTTTTATGCCGAATTTGAGTGCAATATGATTGGCCTTCTAAAGACGCCATAGCGTCGTGAAAAGGGCGGTGAAGCCAAGGCAAAGATCCACACCGGGCCGCTGCAGCTGCGAAAAGCGCTGAAGCCACGGGACACCACCGAGTGGGTCTGAAACTTGAGGTTCTGTCGGCCATGGTCGTGAGGAGTTGAAGATCCAAAGTCTACGTGCGATGGCCTCCCCCATAAGAGCATTGGCCAACCTAAGAACGATGGCCTCCAACCTACTGAAGAAAAGTCGCAGAGACGAAAATGGAAATGGAAAGAAAGCAGTGGGCACCAATTTGGCCATGTGGCGCATGTGGCGAGGTCAGAAGCATGAAGCAGCCCTACTCATACTTTGAGCCCATGGCCTCAGCGGGAATACAGTTGGACGTTCAAGGGAAAGACGCGGCCCGCGGCACGCGTGTTTGTTACTAGTAGCGTCCTTGCTCCTAGTAGCGATGCCAGGAGCCCCTAGTAGCGTCCTTGTTCGTAGATGTTCGTGTCTTCAGATTTCAAGAAATCCGAAGGATTGGAACCGTATCCAAGCTCGGATTTGTGAGGTCCTCTGCCAACCAGCCGACCCCAAAACCGGAGAAGTCCAAAGGGCCACCAGCGCGAGAGCCTCGGAGCATCACAGTTCCTGGTTTTATAGAAACATAGAACGAGGTCACCTAGTAGCGATGGCCTCCATCTCCTAGTAGCATCCTTGCTTGCTCCTAGTAGCTTCTTGTTCCTAGTAGTAAGGCCAGGAGGTCCTAGTAGCGTCCTTGTTCCTAGTAGCGATGCCCTTTGCTCCTAGTAGCTTCCTAGTCGGAAGACCGGGACTTGAAGCGCATGTTCGTAGAGAAACCTCGACAGCTGAAGGCTCTGGCTGCCAACCACTAAGCAGAAGGCACTCCAGGCTCGGCTGTCAGGGGGCTGAGGGGGCTGGGAGGGCTTCTCCTCTCAAGGAGAAGAAGCAAGAGGAGAAGAACGCGGAGAAGAGTCCGGACAAGAAGGAGAAGAAAGCTCCAAACCAAGCACGGTTTCAGTGAAGCACTGTTTCATAGTGTTCATTGCAAATTGCCGCTGCTTTGTTTGGTGGCTGGGATCCACCAAGCACATCTCCGCTTGATCAAGATCACTCTTTGATACGACGCCATGAAGCGCACACGCACAGTTCTTGTCGAATGCTTAGGCTAAAGGTGGTGCCATCAGTGACGAAGATCCTGTGAAGGCGCCAGCGCTTGGAGAGTCCTGGACTTAGCGCACCGTGCATGGAGCTGTGCCCAATGCCACTCATGGCGACTGGCCCAACTCACTTCACTTTTTGTGCCACAGATACGATGACAGAACACTGGGACGACGACCCTGGGATGAGGCACCCGGCCATTTGGTTTTTTCATTATCGTAGGTTCGAGGCCATCACTAGTAGGTCAGAGGCCATCGCTGGTAGGCCGCAGGGCCTCGCTAATAGGGTGGAGGCGATTGCTATTGGGTAGGGGCCTTTCCCTGGTGCTTTTTCGTTTCATCTCTTCGCATGGCTACCACGCAACTCCTTCACTCGCTTGGCCTGGAGGGTCACCACATCATGATGTCACGCATGAACCACGAGGCATCGGCCGTTTCTTGACACAGGGAGTGTGGTTTCAGTGGGGAGCACCCCTTCCAGGTCCAGAGCGGTGTCCGGGAGTATTTTGACAAACCAAAGCGGAAGGAAGGCAGGATGTTGAGAAGATCAGTGAAGGAAACTTCGAATCCAGAATCACTTATTTTGGAGAGCTGTATTTTGTAACGCCCGCTCCTACTTATTTAAGCAGGTCCCTACTTAATCAAGTAAGGGAGTGGCAAGCTACTAGCAAAGTAGGAGGCTACTACATACTGGACACAGGATAGCTCACGCTTCTTCAAGAAAGCTCCCCCGCCTGAGGGCGGGGGGAGCTTCCTTGAAGAAGCGCTGGCGCGAAAAATTTGGTTCCACATGTTTTAGGGAAACTCACTTAGAGCTCACAGTTTCGCAAGAGATACTTCAGGCGAAGGTCCCCCACCTATGCGAGAGAGGTATGTCACCTGCTCAATGCACTTCGCGCACCCCTCCATCGGTCCATCCGATGAATTGAATTCAACCATTAGCATCAGTTAAGGTTCTGGCTTAATCCTTCACCGTCAGTTCAGAATTCCTGCACACCAAGGTCATGAACGACCGCCAACTTGCGTTTGGATCTCATGATTGTCCTCTCCGGCGGATAGGAATCAGATCCGTTGGATGGAAAACGGAGATCCAACGGTGGAAACGAATGCTACTAGTAGCTTTGGGTTACTAGAAGTAAGGCACTTGTTACGAACGTAGCGATGCACTTGTTACTAGTAGCGTCCTTGTTCCTAGTAGTAAGGCCAGGAGCCCCTAGTAGCGTTCTTGTTACTACTAGTAAGGCACTTGTTACTAGTAGCTTCTGGTTCTTTTCGCGTGGCTCAGGTGGAACGATGAGCCAGGGAAACCTGGCCAACTTCGCCGGACCTTGCCGCGGACCCCAAACGCACCGGGTCCACGGCGGACGGAGCGGGGTCAGCGCGGCGGAGCGCGGGCGGTCCGAGGTTCGACCATGTTGGAGCCTATAGCATTGGCGGCTGCAAGGATTACCAGCGAAGCCTGACCTGTTTTTGTTGCAGATTGGCTGGAAGATGACCTCGTTGGTGGTTTGAATGGCGCGAGTGATTGCAATCAGCTCAGCCAGGATGCCATCCTATTGGCGGAAAGTCAAGGATAGCGCTTAAGGCTTTTGGAAGAATGTCTTTAGGATTGGAGGCCGCCGCTATCAGGTTGGAGCCTTCCCCTAATGTTTCTTCGATTCTGTGGATGGAAAGCATTGCGTCTCAGCATTGGCAGGACTGGTCCAGCTACAGCACGCCAGAATTGCCTCTGACCTTGCGCTGCAAGTGGCTTGATTGCATTTTGGTGAGCTGCTTTACAGAGCCGAGTCGATCACGTGTCAGGATCCAACCCCATGGCCATGTCCCAGCGGGTTATGTGCTTTGCCTCAGACTTCCCGTTGCTGCACGTCGCCGGCTTTTGCGGCCGCCTCCGCTCGCCTCCGCCGCTTTCGAAGCGAGGAGCGGCGACATTTGTTCCAAGCTCTGGCCAACATGCCGCCCAGTGAGGCGGCCACGACGCGGCCTCAGGTGCATCCGATGGGAGCCTTGAGCGAGGGCCTCTAAATAAGGTTCTGTTGACCGAGGTTTTGGCGTGGCTGGGCCCGAGGCCAAGATGTAGCTTTGGCTACCTTCACTTTCTCTAGGGAAGAAACCTTGAAGGCCTTTCTTCTCTCAGTTCATTCCACCCAAAGATTCCACATTCCACCCAGGTGGAGCGTGAAAACACCTTTGGAAAGGCAGAGGTGCCCTGGGGGTGCCCAATGGTCGTGTCGTGCCCGATGGTCAGACGACACATGCTAGCGGAAGCTGTTGAGCATCACGGAAGCTGTAGTTCACTTGGCAGGCGGCAGTTTCAACGCCCAAGAAATCCAGGCACAGAGTATCTATTTGGGTTTCGGTGGAAGCTTTGACGAGGAAAAGAGCTGTTGCCAGCATGCAGATATGGTGGATTGGCCAGGTGGAACAATTCCTGGCAAGCAAGCTGGGCACAGGATCGTCAAATTGGCAAAAGACCGGGTGAAGTTTTCATCCATTTAGTAGCTTGTGTGTGGCCTTGCTTTTGATGGCCTGACAGGGCAATGATGAGATGAACTGGCTGCTCGGTGGAACTAGGGAAAATTTCGAAGGCTCCTGGAACCTTCAATAGAACACAAGAATAATGAAATAAAAAAGACAAGAGTGATGTTGCGTGTTCCTACCAGCGCTACCACAGACTTCTTCGATCCGAGGCGATGTCGAGAATATTTCTCTGTGCCCTTAGGAGGCAGCAATTGATGTCCTGTTTAAGTCTCGGACTTCACGGACAGCTTATTGGAAACAATAAGACCTCTAGGTCTTGTTTTTTTTTTTGAACCTTTAGACCGTTCTTCCTTTCTCCCTTCCCTTGTCTTTCGATTTTTAGATGGTTCCTTTCTGTTCTTTTCTTTCCTTTTGTTTCGGGTGATGTCCTGCGAGAAGTTGTGCTGCTGTCTAAAGAACTCCTTTCAACGTCAGGTCTTGGACTGGACCGGCATGAAATGAGCACCCCAAAGGATCAAGAACCAATCAATTCCATACCCTCTTAATGCATGTTTTCCTCCACCAACCGCTCCCTTCTTGGTGTTCTTCGGGTGGTTCTTCTGTTGTGGCTTTTGAATTGGGTCCGAAGGCACCGGCAGATCCATGCCCAGCAGTTCCCCTTCCTTGTTGAAGCAGCCCTTGGTGATGCCCTCGATTTCGACAGCTTTTGGGACAGTGGGCGAATCGTTTTGTCCTAAGGCAATGACTTTGCAAGAAGCCCTGGAGACGTTTCACCTGGAAAAAGAGAAATCACCGTGAGCGGGTCATTGTATTGAGGTTCCAGCTCATGGAAGAACACTTGCTGATGAATCAGCTTGCTCAGATCATCGTGAGAAAAGCAGGGCAAGTTTTCAAGTTAGGCGCTTTGCCATGTGGTGCAATGTATGCATATCATGTATGCGCATGTCTTTACAAGTGCATGTATCATCAATGAATGTTGCAATTTTAATAGTGCATATGAGTGCATGTATTATTTGGATTTTTGCATGATGGTGTGTATGCATGCACGTATGCATGTACATTGGCATGTATATACATATATAATATACCGGTATGTATAAACAATATACATACGCACTAGTCAAGGAAAGGATCAAAAACTATGCGCGGATGGGATCGACCTGAACAGGATGAGTTGTGAGAAGTAATTACAGGGCTTTGGTGAAGACAATTTAAAAAGAAGTTGAGCTGTCAACAAGTCCAGAAAGGAACCGGTGTTCCGAACAGTCATCCCAAGCTCAAGCGGCAGCCCACCATGGCGCGTCGCGAGAGGTGAGCTGTTGTCAAACAATGTTTGCTCTCGCAACACCCTGCATTCCGGTTCAGGATTTTCCTTGATGGCTTTACGGCGATTCCTGAGCTGAACGGGGTGTACGTCCAGGGTGACCCAAAGGCAGGGCATTGGTTTGCCATGATCAGCCCAAGCAGGCACCAAGCAGCCCACCAATAGACTCGCACAACTTGCAGGTCATCATAGGAGACCGCCCAGTGTATTGGAAGGCGGGCCATTCCACGGGTCATTCAAGCATCCTTTGCAGGCATTGATGTGAATTAGAAAGGAAAGAGAGGGAGTATATTATCCCCTTTGTGTCGAGGAAGGGTTGCAAATTTACGTCAAACACTCGGGAAAACTGGAACCACTAAATCCTTGTATTGAAAAAAGGTTGCAATCATGTGGCTGTCAGGACAACCACTTCTTCCTTTACCACAACGCGCAGCTTCGCAGGTGCAGCATGCCACTACGCCTCCACCCTAAAAGCAATGGCCTCCAACCTTATAGCACAAGGAACCTAATAGCCATAGCCTGCACCCTAAGACTAAGAGCGATGGCCCCCACCCTAAGAGCAATGGCCTCCAACCTAATAGCAAAAGCAACCTAATAGCAATTGGCCTTCGCCCTAAGAGCGATGGCCTCCGCCCCAACAGCAATGGCCTCCAACCTACTAGCGATGGCCTCCAACATGCAAGAAACGTTTCTGGTCGGCCGTTACAAATTGTGATTATGAAGCGTGTTTGTTTGTTTTTTAGATTCTCACGCCAATTTGTGAAATCATTTTTTCGACAAATCGGGATGTTTTTGTTGGTAAGATTTGGGGAAGCAAAATGAGACCCATCAAGATGGTGGAGCATTTAATGCAAAAATTTCAACAAACAAAATTGCAATCACCAAAATGTGAAACAAGCTATCGCCTCATGCCGTCCTTTTTCTTGGTGGAGCTATGCCGCAGGTATCATTTGACTGGATGTATGGACTGGCTGGAGTTGACTTGAGTGTGCACTCGACTGGACAAAAACGAAGTGCAAAGTGTTTCAGAAAGCACAACAGTCTCAACTGCATTGTGGCTCAATGCCACCTTGACTGTGCAGGGCAGGTGCATGCATCTCAGTGTTTCATTGTGCAACATGGTTGGATCCGCAGTGTGCAACTCCACCCAGTCCAGCGCAGTCAACTCCAGTTCTGTCCGTGAACTCCAGTCCAGAGCGCACTGAATCCCAGCCAGTCAATGCAGAATGCAATCAGCTCTAAGAGGCTCTAACCAAGTCCAGTCCGGTATACTGACTCGTGTATTTGTTGCGGAATCGAGTCACAGTGGAATATTAAGGGCCAGCGCTATCCCAAAGTGGAGAACATCTAGGACTCTAGGCTGTCCCCAGCCAGCTCAACAAGAAGCTACTAGAAACAAGTGCATCGCTTCTAGTAACAAGTGCCTTGTAACAAGAAGCTACCCCCCCCCCGCGCGCGCGCGCGCGAGGACGAAAAGGTCCTAGTAGATTCCTTTGCTAGTAATTACAAGTGCCTTACTAGTAGTAACAAAAAAGCTATTAATTGAATTCTAATAGCTTCTTGTTACTAGTAGTATGGCACTTGTTTCTAATAGCGATGCACTTGTTACTACTAGTAAGGCACCTGTTACGAGTAGCGTGGCACCTGTTACTAGGTAGGACAACCCACGGTGCGACATCGCTCGACGACACTCGCAGGTATCACCTGTCGCCCCGACGGGATGGCGACGGCACAGACCTTTTTGGTCATGCTTATCAGTTTCAACAGCGTGGCCAGACGCCCAGAGACGTCCACGACAAATGTGAGGACTGGGATAGGTTCTTGTTTTGTTACATGATTGGCATGGCCAAATTCATACATGCCTTATTTCATGCCGGTATGACTTTGCTTTAGGCATCTCCACTTCTCATTTTGTCAGCTTTTTCCTCTAGCAATCTCTACTCGTCGTAACTTTTCGGCTGAAATCTCTACATCTCTCCGTGCTTGTCGAGACTTCCACACACGTGACCTTGTTGAGGTCACGTGTTGATATTAAACCTGTTGTCATTGTCGTCTCAGGATGCTTGTCATACTGTTTTTCCAATACCTGACTTCAAAGCAAGGGTCGCGGTGCATTTCCTTTGTACTTCAGCTTTCCAAGTTCTTACTTCAAGTCGTCAAACCGGAAGATGCTATCTCCAAGCAAAGGCCTGCATATGCATGTAACGAATCCTTTTTTGATTTAAGCCGCCTGTGAACGAATCTTTGATGTTCAAAGAACTCGGTATGTAGCAGAATGTAGCAGTATCCACCACCAGTCCAAGGGACCTTGAGTTCCAGCTTGAGTTGTCGCACCAGGCGAACGGTTTTGTAACTTTGCTACTAGTAGCAATGCCCTTGTTACTAGCAGCTTCTTGTTACTAGTAGTAAGGCCAGGGGCTACCAGTAGCGATCACCTGTTACTAGTAGAGCTACTGCTGCTTTCCATGAACCGGAAAGTTCTTGATTTTCTGCTGACAAATGCTTTCCCATGCTGGAACATCCAACCTGATTTGTTTGGGATTCTTTGAAAGCTGCAGCATCTTCAGTACAGCTTGCATCCACTACAGAGCTTGTAGACTGATGACGTGCACTTTTGTTACCATGTGTGTTCTTAATTGTACCCTGAGCCAGTGTGGCTTTTCCGGCTTTTTGTTTCAGACTTTGAACTCTTCTTCACTGGCAAGCCTCCTTTGAAGCGCTTCTGCAGTGCACCTTGACACAGCAAAAGCATTTAATTTATATGTGTGGTGGTTGAGCACGCGCGGTCTCCTTTCTCTTGAACTTGGACTTGGCCATTTGCTTCAAGTCACGCCTGACCATCACAGTGTAAGTGCCATGAGCCGAGACAGCTTTACATCTCAAGAATGAGTGAATCATGAGGAAAACCTCCAAAAGTAGGTGATTTATCAACACGCCTCCACAAAGGCCTGCATCAAAACAGACTGGGGGAACTCATAGAAACGGTCAAAAGTCAACGAAATGTGAAAAAGGTCACACGCTAAGTCAGTCAGCAACCTCCTGCCCCTTGATCCGGCAGAAGGTTCTGTTTTTGGCCTGGGGGGGGTAGGCTGCGACAAGAGAGGTGGCTAAGGCTAAGGTAGAAGAGAGTAGTTCGCTAGTAGCTACTAGTATGCTCCTACATAATATGGATGCAGGATAGCATGCTCACTCTTCTTCAAGGAAGCTCCCCCCCGTCCTGAGGACGGTTGAAGAAGTGCGCACGAATGATGTGGAAACTGAAGAGATTTAGGACATGTGATGTTGTAGAAGGCAAGCTTTCTTAGACCGAAATTTCTACCTGTCAAGACTTGTCTAACTGGTGTTTATTCCTCCGTGTGTTTTGACATGAGCATTTGGATTGGAACATCTACACTCTTCTAGTCTTTCCTTTGGCTCGCCATGCTTACATCTTTGGACATTTCTTTAGAAATCTTTGCTGTCCCGTACTCTTCTGTGTGGCTTTTTGCTATTTTCTGGCGTGCACGCCACCTATGACATGATCACCACCTGCCGAAGTGTTCCCTTTCTTTTGCGATTTGCCTAGGCGTGGCTGTGTCAACTGACACGCCCACCGTGTGGAGAGAGGCACGGCCTGATGGCAGCTGGAAAACCATCCTCGTAAAGACACGTGCCTGGGTCTGAATTTCGGGCGGCGGTCGAATCGGAGAACCGAAACAGAATCGGGGCAACCACCGGACACGAAATTGGACTGCATGTCTTGCATTCCAGCCTGTTTGGTGCCACAGATAGGCCGCTAGGCAGACAGGTAAAGTCTTGATAGATCCACAGGCCGCTAGGAGGTAGGTAGCTAGGTTGGACGTCGCTAGTAACCAGAAGCTACTAGGGTGGAGGCCATCGCTATCAGGTTTGAAGAACTCCCCTGGTGATCGCTGCTAGCCGCTGCTGGCCCCGTCTTCTTAGTCGCCTTTTCAGGCTCCATAGTCTGTGGGCCGCACCATGCGCAAATTGAAAACGCAATCGGTATGTCAACTCCCACCTAATGAAGATGGCCCCTACCTTAAGACCCATGGCCTCCAACCTAAGAACGATGGCCCCTACCCTAAGAGCGATCGCCATTAGGTTGGAGGCCATCGCTATTAGTTAGGAGGCCATCGCTATTAACCCGGACAAGGACAAGCATTCGACAAATGCAAAAGAAAAAGTAGTGCACGCCTCTGCATGCGGGCCATTGCTATTAGGTTGGAGGCCATAGCTGAATGGAATCATCTGAGCCGCTGAATGAATCGCCGCGAGGAGCAAAATTATATTTCCCAGCTCCCAACCCCAAAAAAGAACGTAGCCCGAAAGCACTTCTGGAAATGTCTAATTTCCACAGTTCCTCTACTTTAAGGAAGGTGGGTTGAAAACGCATTTTGCATCTTTACTTTTTATTCCTTCATGCATGCGAAAAGTGCGGCTATCACTCGTAAGAACATGGCACAAGCAGTATGATTGCCTACATCTATGGAAGAAGGAAAAGAAGATTGAAGTGCATGAACATGCATTTGGGTGTTCTTTCTTTCAGGTCAGTGGTTCGAAAAGTGAAAGAAAAAGCATCCGAGGCATCGACTCAGGAGATGGACGATGGGCGCCTGTGGAGCCCCCACCAGAGCTTCTCCATCAGGCGCCGCTTGGGGTGAAGTGTGTTAGTTGCACACTGTGCATTAGGACGCTATTAGGTGGAGGCCATCGCAAGTAGGTTGGAGGCCATCGCTACTAGTAACAAGAAGCTACTAGTAATGTTGGGGCACATGGCAGCCATCAGCCCGAAAGCTTCGCCAGTTTGCTGAAAGCGTGGCAGCGGCTAGAGCACGCCAGCAGGAGTTCCTGGTCTTGATAAATATGTTGTTGTTGTCTCCTTTTGGGATTGGCAAAGGGTCTATCTTGGTGGAGGGCAGGGCGCTGCAGGACGCAGCGCCCCAAAACATGCGTCCAGGCAAGAGCTCCTTGCACAACAGCAAGCTGAGCAAAAGAGGCTCTTGGAAGCCGAACGGGACAAAGAGCGTGAGGCAGCACGACAGAAGACCTTTGCCGAGTGGCGAGATCATGGGCCGCCCCCAGTGAACGGCTTGAAGCCCAAGATTGAGGAAGGAAAGGTCCGAAAGGAAACCTTGAAGCGAAATAAGACATCGGCCGAGAGCACATCAGGAGAGAACTGGATCAAAAATAGAAGTATCCCTCCTTACTTGTTTATCCCTCCTTACTTGTCTTCGTGACTTGTTGGGCCTAACGAGCTTTGGGCGAGGAACTTGATACCCGAGCCCCGGTCCGAGCCCCGAGCCCCCATGAACGACGGATACCTTGGCCCCAAGATCAGGGACTTCCAGCTCATCCACGGATGCTCAAACCAAGACACTACAAAACAAGAAACATGAGTCACATCTTAAACTACGGGGCCATAGATGCATATAAACATGGTCGGAAGCAACCGAACCATGCAAAATCAGAGAAACAACCCGGGACTGACTGGACACAACCATCCAGCAAGCTTATTCAAGCAGCGTCCTTGTTACTATATAGCGATGCCCTTTGTTGCTAGTAGCATCTATTAGCGTCCTTTTGTTACTAGTAATGCACTTGTTACTAGAAGCGATGCACTTGTTCCTAGTAGCATCCTTGTTACTACAATTCTAGCAGCAGGCTGGGCCCATTTGGCCGAACAGCCTAGCAGTACGGTCGGCGTCGACTCACCCAAACGCCGAGGAAACTGTGGGTTCAGGCTCAGGCTCAGGTGATATGTTGATTGGTATTGGGTTGGAGGCCGCTATTAGGTTCCTTTTGCTAATAGGTTGCAGGCGTTTGATCCGTTGTGATCTTTTTTTCCGCAGGAGGGATCAAATCCAGGCGCATGTATTTCAGCACTGATCTGCAGACAGCACAGAAGAAGTACTTCCGTTGGAAGAGAATGATGAAGAGGAAGAACCTGCGGTGCCCCAAGATTAGACGGAACACCTCGGATCTGGCTGTCTTTAAGGAATTGATGATCTCAAAAGTGTACCAGCCCTTCAAGGGCAGTGGGGTGTTGGATTGCTTCGTTGCCAAAGCCGGCGATTCCCTTCTGGACGTCGGGGGCAACGTAGGGTTAGCTTGCTGGAGTTACTGGCATTTTAACCAGGTCCGCAAAGGAGATTGCTACGAGCCGTCGAGAGGATGCAAAAGAGCCTCGGCCCATTCACAGTAGCTTCTTGTTACTACTAGTAAGGCACCTGTTACTACTAGCGTGGCACTTGTTACTAGTAGCTTCTTGTTACCAATAGACCTGTAACATGTCTTTGAAACTTCTTAGTATAATATATAAAGCTCTTTTTAACGGGGGCAGGCAGTTCTCCGAGTTGAGTTTCCCTGAAAAATCTGGAAACCACATGAATAGTGCGGGCGCTTCTTCAAGGAAGCTCCCCAGCGTGAGCAATCCTGTGTCCAGTTACTAGTAGCTACTTGACCTACTAGCAACTCCCTAGCTACTACTAGCTACCTACCTAGCTAAACCACCTCACCTCGACACAGCCTACCCCCCAAGAAAAAAGGGGGCGTCCACAATTGGCTTCCTGTCCAAAAACCTCGAAACATCTCGTTGATTTATGTTGGTTTGCTCGTCAAGGTGGAATCACGAAGAATTTGAAGGCCTTGAATTTGAATGGCTGTGCCTTCCAGTACCATGACTGCGGAGTGGGCACAGAAAACGCGGAAGCTCCCTTTGTGGACACCACCAACTGCAGCAGAGGCGCCTTGGGTTCCTGAAGCTTGGGCTCCTCACGAATAGCCCCCACCCTACCCCCAACCTACTAGCAATGGGCTCCAATCCACCAGCGATGGCCTCCATGGACCACTGTTTTCTCCAGTAGCAAGTCCATGGCGGCTCCGGAATAGCAAAGCCACGCTAACCGTCTGAGATCGTAGTCTTCCACATCAGGTCAGACAACATGTCAAAGGTTTTCACATGCCCTTCTCAGGTGGTAGCAGTCGATCTTCATTGGCTGAGTTCGCTCGAAGAATGCGGAAGGGAGCCGACACATACACTGTCCAGATCAAGTGTTTCCAGGACCTTGCTTATGTTTGTTGTTTATGACTGCTGAACCGCAGAAAGCCGATGCATAAACCGATTGGCTTTGTAAGGCTGGGACTGACCACTGACCATGAGCAAATGGCATTGAATTCGCGCCAGGACATTCTGCAAGACCACACGGTGGCATCACAGTCGCAAAAAGCGATGTTTTATTCTTCCCGGAGGGGGTGTCCATGTCAATATGGGTTCCGATTGACTCTCAACCCTTTTCATGCTGTTCTGCCGGACCAGCAAGCTTGAAGTCGCTTAAGTAGACAGCGAGTAAGAGTCCCGACTCCTGATGCCAGAGAATGGATGGCCAGCATTCAGGGCGAACAGAGTGAGAGCCAACAAGCCTCAAGCACTCCTCACATCTCCTCACCATGGATCCCCGCAAATCGGGGTGACCGTACAACGCAAGCACCACATGAGCAACGCTTTTTTCAATTGAAAGGACTCATGCAAAAGTGGAACTTGTCAACTTTCTTCCGCAAAAGCAAACCGCGAAAGAAATACATATAGAAATACAGTGGAGGCAAGTATAATAGGTATAGGCAAGTATCAATCTCACACGTGTACACAATCTCACAGCACTTCATTCCAGTGTAGCTGCTGAAGTGGCGCAATGAACTTTTTGGTCGAGCAGCTTCCCCTCAACTGTTTTTGGGGTGGAAGCTGTCAGATTCGTGTGAAATAGTGTGGAAACGTGACATGTTCAAGTGTGAATGAAGGATGATTTGCTGCGGAGGCGTGAAGATTGGCTTTCGCAGCGCGGTCTTACGATTGCTGTTGCAGGAGCCATAAGAAGACAAAATCTAAGGTGATCCCCACGAAAGCTCCGCGAAAGCGCCTACAGCCTCCCAACCAATCCCCTTCCGACGCCGGATGGCCCCAGAAGAGTTTCCAGCCGCAAAGCCTCCCCGCAACTCGTGGAGAAGAAGCGCCCGCTACTGCTTCATCTTCACCTGCCTCTGACACTGAATGATGTCTGTTTGAAGGATCCGATGCACCGCGAAAGCGTTCGCGTAGGCACCTTTGATAAACATGTTTTTGCTTTGTTCTCGTGTATAGGCCTCAAGCATCCTCAAGCAACAAAAAAATAAAAGGACCGGATAACCCCACATGATAAGTTTTACAAATTTCAATTGTATATGAACATCACATGGGAGACGGAGTAGTGAGATGAAAAGTCAAGAACGAAGTGTGAGGAGAGAAGGTATATGAGGCGGTTGTGCTAAGACGTGTAGTATAAGTGATGATGTGATGGACGAGGATGAGAAGGAGGGGAGGGAGGAGGTGTGTATGAGTGAGTGAGTGAGTGGAGTGAGTGAGTGGAGTGAGTAAGTGGAGTGAGTGAGTGAGTGGAGTGGAGTGGAGTGGAGTGGAGTGGAGTGGAGTGGAGTGGA